CTTCTTTGAGGAATCTACCTGCCTCAGAGTTTCGTTTGCTATGGATATGTTACTTGGAACCCTGATACTCTGCTTGTATGCCCAAGTCAACCAATTATATTTGGGGGCTTGATTAGGGGGTGTCCAAACTTGGCAACTTTTAAAGACTTGTGGAACTTTGATTCCCATAATCCATGCTGGCTGTGGAATTCTGGGAATTGAACCTCCACAAGTCTTAAAAGTGGCCATTACAACCATTCATTAATTACCTTTCAAAGTCAGAATGGTACTAAAAAGAGGAATTTATAATTGATCTTTGCAGTTACAAAGACTGCAGCACCCACATAATTACATGATTGTGATTTGTTTAATGACTACATGATTCATTTATAACAACTGCGGTGATTTGTTTAATAACATGGCAAAAAGAAGGTTGTCATGCCCTTGTTGGACTCTGAGGGAGAGGAGGGACAGGGAGTAGAGGTGTGGCTCTAGAGGTTGTGGAGGAGGCTGGGGAAGGGCAGAGGCCGGCTGGGCAGTCAGAGGCCCATCCCCTCTGCATCCTAGGACATGCAGGGAGGAATGGAGAAGGAAGCCATTTGGCTTATGAGAGAGGAAGCGGCCATGATCCCCCTCATTGGTTGCAGCTGGGGAGACTAGTATATAAGAGACGATTACAACACAGCATTGCCAGAAGCAAAGTGTGTGTTATTTTGGTTGGCGTCCTTCCAACAGACTGTGCCTTGTAATCTGCTTGAAGTTGGTAATTACTTATCCTGGTCCGTTGTGGAATTTCCTTCATTGTAGTTTGTTTTGGGTTTTTGGGATTTTTGGGGATTTTTATTTCACCTCTATCGGCTCATTAAGTTCGGACTGTATTGCTTTCTTTTGAAGACTATTTTTGAGTACGTTTTATCTCCAACTGAGAATTATTGAACGGTGGGGCCAAGTTGGAGGCATTAAAAGACATTTTACGTTTTGGATTTTGTTACGTTTGTGTTACACTCCAGGTCATCACAAAGGTACTAAAATTCAGCACAACTCACTTAACCATGGCCTTGCTTAGCAACAGAAATTCTGGCCCCAAATACAGGTGTTGTGGACTTACCACAATAGAGCCCAACATTACTGCTGCTAAGTTTTGTCCAATTTTACAACCTCTCTTGCCACAGTTGTTAATCACTGCAGTTAATAAATTAGTAATCCAGTTGTTAAGTGAATCAGTAGGTTTTCCTACTGATTTTGTTTGTCAGAAGGTTGCAAAAGGGGATCACATGACCTTGGGATTTAAGTATGAACCAGTTGCCAAGCCTCTGAATTTTGATCACGTGACCACAGGGATGCCGCAAAGGTCGTAATTGTGAAAAATGGTCGTAAGTCACTTTTTTCAGTGCCGTTGTAGCTTTGAACGGTCACTAAATGGACCATTGTAAGTTGAGGACGCTCTGTACTAACCGGTCCTGGCAAGGGAGGTGGGCCTGAGTTGTCTCCATCGTCTCCTCTCAGAACAGGCCTGGTAAGCAGAATCCCTGTCTGTTTAAAAAAAAAATGAAAGAAAAATAAATTGGGGGGAATAAATCAACTATTTGCCCTTTTCAACTTGAAATCTAAAATATTTCTCTCGGGCAGAAGTGATGGTTTAGAACAGTGCTTCTCAATCTTGAAAATGTGCGGACTTCAACTTCCAAATTCCCCAGCCAGCAACGCTGGAATTCTGGGGGTTGAAGTCCACATATCTTCAAGAAGTCAAGGTTGAGAAAGCCTGATTCTCAAGGATTTAAGATGGCTTAGAGCAGTGGTCACCAACCAGTGGGCTGGGGACCACTGGTGGTCCGCGAGAAAATGTTGGTGGTCCGCAGAGAAATTTCACCCCCAAAGCAATTAATCCAGGCTGTGCGGGAACACAAGGCTGCGCTGCCCATATGGCTTGCGGGAACACAAGGCTTGCGTCGCTTGCATTGCAAACAACACGAGGTAGTGAGGGGAGGGGGGAAAAGGGCGGAGGGGGGAGACTTGCCCCACTCACCCCATGTGCCTGGCCTGGCCACCAGGCAGCTTCTTTCTTCTGCTTTTGGTTGCACGCAAGGAAAGCAGCAGAAGTCTTTCTTTCTCTCCCCCAAACTCCGCCAGAAATGAGTCTTTGGGACCCTGCAAGGCATCCTGCTCCAAGAGGCTGAGCCGGCATGAGAAGTCTCACAAGGACTCATTTCTGGCAGTTTGGGGGAGAGAAAGAAAGACTTCTACTGTTTTCCTTGCATGAAGCCAAAAGTCTCTCTCTCTCTCTCCCCCCCAAGAATGGAGCTGGAGACCGTATCCTGCGATCCCAAATAAAGAATGATTGATCGGTAGGAAAACAGGGTGGGGAATTTTCCTGCAGACTTTTTTTGGGATTTTCCCAGTGTCTCTGGTCTGCAGGATTTAAAAGTATGAGTTTGGTGGTCCCTGAGGTCCAAAAGGTTGGTGACCCCTGGCTTAATATTTCCCTGCAGGGAAATATTAGGGCTTAACCCCATAGATGCTAAGCCTTTTCCAATTTGGAGCAGCCCAGATGTTTCTCAAAGCACATCTGGAAGATACCATTTGGAAAGAGGGCTGCTGAGAGAAGGACGATACGTTTCAAATTTTCAGCATGTAAAAATCTAATTTCAAATGAAGGTTACAAACCTGCGTGGATTTGTTCTTAGTTGCTCAAAGAGGGTTTTTAACAACCATCTAACATAACATACACCTTTTCTAGATTCTCCTTTACCAAAATGTTATTTTCTTAGCACCCGAAATTCCCGTTTCTTTCTGAGTGGATTACACTAAAGTAATCGAGGTTTATAGAATCTAGTTGTGTATACTCAGATTCCCCGGTGTTTGGGCCTTCCTTTCTATGACCTGCCAGCCAGTTATAGTAAAAAATACAAAAACCTGTTGTTGCTTTTTTCTGATCCAAGAAATAAGGTTTCACCTGAAGAGTATATGTTTGCAGCCTTTCCAGCAGCTCTTCACGGCTACCTGGAAAAGGAACAAAAATAAAATAATTCAGAGATGATGCTGTGAAACAAGAAGGGAGATTAATCTTCGCCAATCATTCACCAATCATTCATTGATCTTCTCCAAACATTCTCCATACAGAAGAAAAAAAATTCTGAAGTTCTCCAGGAAGAAAATGTGTGGCAACAAAAACTAAAGAAATCACATCAGAGCTTAGCATGATAGGCTAATTGGGTCACTACAGTAGCCCGAAATAATGACACCCCTCCCAAAGGGTACAGGTAATCCTCAACTTACAACAGTTTGTTTAGTTTGAAGTTATAACGGCACTGAAAAAAGTGATTTATGACTGTTTTTCACTTACGACCGTTGTAGCATCCCCATGGTCACATGATCAAAATTCAGACACTTGGCATCTGACTCAGATTTATGACAGCTGCAGCAAACTGAGGTTGTGTGATCCCCTTTTGCGACCTTCTGACAAGCAAAGTCAATGGGGAAGCCAAATTCACTTAACAACCATGTTACCATATTAACAATTGTGATGCAAGTCCAAAATGCTGGAAATGTAAGAAGGTTGACCGTACATTTTATCATATGTGGTGGTTATGCCCCGAGACTAGGACATTCAAATAAAAAACTGGCTACAAGAGATTACTGGTTACCAGATTGAGCTCAGACCGGAAACCTTCCTTCTAGGAATTATTAAAGATAAAATCCCAAAAGAAATAAAATATTTATTGCTACATATCACAACAACCGCCAGAATAGCCTTCGCACAGGTATGGAAAACTCCCAACATTCCTAAGGAAGAACTGATATTACAAAAAGTAACAGAAAGTGCGGAAATGAATATGTTAACGCTGAAATTGAAAGAAAGAGATGACTCTGAATACTTCCTAATCTGGAATAAATGGTATGATTGGTTAGCAAACAGAACTAAAAAATAAGGCAAGAAATCTTACTGTAAGAAGCCTTTGGAAAGTAAAATGTAAATTTGTAACTTATGTAAGAATATAGGAATAACAATTATAGTTAAAGTTATTAATTAATATTAGATAAATATAAATACAATGTGTTAGGATATTAAAGATAAGAACTTGTATAGATGTCAAGAATGTTGTTGAAACTATGATGTTTTATGATGAAAAAATAGAAACTTAACAAAAACATATTTAAAAAAAAAGCAATTGTGATGATTCACTTTACAATCGTGGTGAGAAAGATTGTAAGGGGGCAAAACTGTCTCACTTAGCAACATAAATTTTGGGCCCTGTGGTGTTCGTAAGTTGGAGGACTATCTGTACTTATGACCCAGTTTCCAAATTCCAATGGGCAGAGCCCCCCGTGGTCATGTGATTGCACTTTGTGTGCTCAGCAACTGCTCCAAGCTTACACTTTATGGTCACTTTAGATGTACATTAATCAGCATACATTACAATGAAATTTTGTTGCATACAGCTCTCGAAGGGTCACCACCTCCAATATACACTACATAAACATGGCAAAAACAAAAATAAATGGAAAATTATGCATATACCCACATCTATATGTATAAAAGCGAAATACTACTCACACATCATCACAAAATCTCCAGAACCATAAAGCCTACAAACTTAAAATTTGGCACGTATTTTCCTCTTAGCTTCTAGGTGCTCACTAAGAAAGGATTTTTCCAAATGACCATCAGAGCATTAGTATTTCCTATGTTATTATTATTATTAACACGCTCTGATGCTAATGAGTTCTACTCCCCCTCCCCACCTGAAAAGAAATCTCTTCCAAATGCAAAACACAAGCAGAGGAGAGGACTTTCAGATTCACAGCATCAAGCAGCTTCAGTACAGAACAGTTGAGCTAAGCCACACCCAGGCTCCTTGGTGTCTCCTTGCTCACACAGCTAATACTGTTTCAGTTTCCAAACAGCCCTCAACTCTCTCACACACTGACAGGACACTAGCCAGATGAATACCGATGGATGCTGGTAGGCAGAGGCAGAATCCCCCCCCTTATTTTCCTCCCCAAAAACTAAGCTCAACCACATAGTTTCGTAGCAAAGCAAGGGTATTGAGCTAGTAGAAAATAGAATACAAAACAGAATAGAAATGAATAGAATATAATAGAAATTAGAGCAGAGTTGAATCGAAGAAAGGGACCTTGGAGGTCTTGTAGTCCAGCCCCCTGCTCAAGCAGGAAAACCTATACAATCTCAGACAAGTGACTTCCCAGACTCTTAAAAACCTCCAGTGAGGAACAACAGTTCACTTAGTGACCAATCCGAGTTACAAAGGCACTGGAAAAAAGTGCCTTTTTTGTGTCACTGGATGACCAGGTTTTTTTCACACTTAACGACCGTCACAGCATTCCCCACGGTCACGCGATCAACATCCAGACTCTTCCCAACTGGCTCATTTAATACGATCCTACAACAAGCGCATCTGCCAACATCTCTACCCGATCCTTTCGGAAGGATCCAGGCATAGCTGGATTAAAAAAAAAAGGTGACTAAATCCCGTCTTAAACCCTCTGGCGGATTCTGTGGCCAAAGTTAAAAAGACGGCCAGTGTTTCGGGTCTGAAGTTCTTGCACTGAATAAAGGGGTGGGGGTGTGGACTAGATGGCCTCGAGGCCCCCCCAACTAAAGTCTTCGCTGAACCGTTTGAGGGGGAAGGTTGGCTTTTCCCACGAGGCGCCTTCCTGGAAACCAGCCTAACTCGGCTGCCCAACACGTGTTTGGCTTCCCGTGATGGCCTTGTTCACACGACATATTGAACCACGAGCGGCCCAACCTCAGACCCTCTGGCCAAACTTGCAAGGAGCTAGCAGCTGGGGCAGGCCCCGGCCCTTCCAAATGCGGTATCCCAGACCGCCGTGGCCCTCCTCACCCTGAGTCGGGGCCCCGATCTCAGCCAGCTTGGCCTGTAGCTCTTTGGGCGACCAGGCCCCGTATCCTGGCAACGGCAGCTCCCCCGCCTTGGGAATCTCTGAGCGTCCCTCGGACGCCATCTTCTCTCCTCGTTCGAATCCGCTTGCGGAAGACCCCGCGCGGCCACCGTAGGCGCGGCGGAGCGCCTTACGCGTCCAATCAGTGCCGCAGAGCGACCCTTCAGCCAATGACGGCGCCACTTCGATTTTTTTTTTTTTTTTTTAGGAGGGAAGGGGCGCTCAAGAGCCATTGGAACAATATTGACCAATCCAGGACCTTGACTAGAATCGGGGGCGGGATCAAGAACAATAGAGAGCGCATAGGCTTCAGGGAGTTGTGGTCTTTTTCTTTATAAGTACAAACAATTCATCTTCCATTTAACGGTATGCCGTCTGGGTACAGATATCTTGTGCAATAATCAAAATTACTGTCATTATTCATTACATTGATATTAGTTCTCCATTGTTATCTTATTATCAATATACATAATATCTCTCACACTATAACAATAACATGTTTAGATCTTCACTTATTATTAGTATATATATCTGTCATTATAACAATTCTCTTCTTACCATGTTCAATTCTATTAAGATATTTTCCTTATTTCACTAATCTATTAGAAATTTCTAGCTTTCGTGTTTTTCTCTAACCATAGATAAAATAGTTCCCATATCTTATAATATTCAGATTGTTCCTTCTCTTTAATTGCCAATGTTAATCTGTTCATTTTTGCACATTCTAATATTTTCCTAATTACATTTTTCATCAGTAGCAATCTCTTCACTTTTCCAGCTTTGAGCAAATACAATTCTACCTGCAGTTAGTACATGAATAATTAAGTATATATTCTCTTTACTATAAGTTTCAGGTTGTGGTCTTTTTTGAGGCTGGGGAGTCAACTACGTTACTGAATTGCCTACGCTTAGCACGGCTGTGATCCAGCTGGATTGTTTAGTGCGCTTCTTTAACATTTTTTAAAAAGTATAATAAAATATAAAATATATGTCTATTGCTACGGATGTTTGCATCCTGCTTCTGAAAGGATAGAAGCTTGCAGAAAGCAGTGTTTCTTAGCTATGTTTGTACAAATACAGGTGGCTTACAACAGTTCATTCAGTCACCATTACAACTGCACTGAAAAAAGTGACTTATGACGGTCTTTAACCCTTACGACCATTGCAAACATCTCTGTGGTCAAAATTCGGACGCTTGGCAACTGACTCATATTTATTGCATTAACAGAGGGATACAATCAAGATCAAGTGAGGTAGTGATACCACTCTATAAAGCTTAGTAAGACCACACCTGGAATCCTGCATCCAGATTTGGTCACCACACTATAAAAAAGATGTTGAGACTCTAGGAAAAGTGCAGAGAAGAGCAACCAGGATGATTAGGAGACTGGAGACTAAGGCATACGAAGAACGGTTACAGGAACTGGGTTCGGCTAGTCTAGAGAAGAAAAGGACCAGGGGAGACAGGATAGCAGTCTTCCAATATTTGGGGGGCTGCCACAGAGAGGAGGGGGTCAAGCTATTCTCCAAAGCACCTGAAGGCCAGACAAGGAATAATGGATGGAAATTGAACAAGGAGAGATTCAACCTGGAAATAAGGTGAAACTTTCTGACAGGGAGAACAACCAACCAATGGAACAGAAGTTGCCCTTGGAAGTTGTCGGAGCGCCATCACTTGAGACCTTCAAGAAGAGATTGGACTGCCATTTGTCAGAAATGGTGTGGGTCTCCTGCTTGGATGGGAGGTTGGACTAGATGACCTATAAGGTCCCTTCCAACTCTGATGATCTGTTATCTGTTATGACTGTTGCAGTGTCCTGAAGTCATGTGATCCCTTTTTGGGACCTTCTGGCATGTAAAGTCAGATTCCCTGTATGGCTGTGTTATTAATTTAATAACTACCATGATTCACTTAACAATGGTGGCAAAAAAGGTAGTAAAATGATCACTTAACAAATGTCTCGCTTAGCAAAAGAAATATAGGGCTCAATTTTGGTCATTAAGTCAAGGATTCCCTGTATAGGGCTGAAAAATGGCTTACTTCTTTAATCCACCCCAGCTGGTCTGGTTTGGAAAAGCCCTTTTCAAAGTTTATTTATATCTCACGTTAATTATTTTTACAAATAAATGGAGGCAGTGAACATATCCAAATAAACCTACGTCTTAGCCAGCTTTCATGCCTAAGCAGGATTTGAGCTCACCCTCTCCTGTTTTTTAGCCTGGTGGTGTCAAACAATCTTTGATGTGATTAGAAAGGGAAATTATTAAAATCTTGGCAAGTCTTATCTATTCACTTTATTGGGAATCATAGGGTTGAATTTCAATTATATTTAAATAGTTAAATCTAGTTTAATTTTGGACGTAGGTCCATTTAATTTCATTGTACGAGGGGCAATGACAATAAACTAAACTAAACTAAAAATTCACGTCTTGTACATCACTCTCTAGGTTCCCTCAACTTATCAATAAAGACCAATGGGAAGGAAAAAGGCTTTGTAATGAACACTTTTTATTATTTTCACCTCTGAAGGGGTTCCGTAAATCAGTTACACATCTACAATTTGCATGCAAAAAAAGTTTAGATTCAGTCCAAGCTTGCTTGATTTAAAACCTTTTGCTTTTAAGATTGTTTTTAAATTTTAAAATTTGAAATTGACGCAAAGATATTTCTCTGAAGGTGGAATAATTGCTTACTGGCAGCAATATAGAAAATATTAAAATAGAGTTTTGTGGCCTGACGTTCTGAACCAAAGAAGCTGTAATCTTTGAAACAAATCTCAGGAGCTGCTATCTTATCCACACCCGGCAAGGCAATTAGGTTTAAACTGCTATATACTAAGAATCACAACCTGATTTCGTTAACACAGTGTGTTGTATCATAAAACATCAGGACTTCAAAATAAGCCGATATGCCAACTTTTTAGTTGCAGCAGTTGCTGGTAGCATTAAAAAAAAAAATATCCTGCTAGTGAATCGTGGATTTCTCTGTTTCATTTAGGAAAGTAGTCTTCTTCAGATGTCTGAAAGAAGAAGATAAGGAAATTAGTCTGCTCACTGTGTTCCATAGTGTGGTTATATTCAATACTGGCTGCTGAGGAGCCACAAAAAAAGCTTCAAGGATGCATCCAAAGACTCTGAATTCCTCTGGAAATATTGAATTGCTAACTAGGACATACAAAACCTTTGCTAGATCAATACTTGAATACAGCTCATCTGCCTGGAATCTGCACTGTATATCAGACATTAATACAACTGAGCGAGTCCAGAAGTATTGCACGAGAAAAGTACTACACTCCTCTGCTCGCAACAGAATACCCGATATCACCAGACTTGAAATTTTGGGCTTGGACAACCTTGAACTACGCCGCCTACGGTTGGACTTAAGCGTAGTACACAAAATTATCTGCTACAATGTCCTACCAGTCAATGACTACTTCAGCTTCAACCGCAACAATACAAGAGCACACAATAGATACAAACTCAATGTTAACTGCTCCAAACTTGATTGCAGGAAGTACGACTTCAGCAACAGAGTGGTCAATGCCTGGAATGCACCCTCTAACCTCCATTCCTTTAACCTCAAACTATACACTATTGACCTCACCCCATTCCTAAGAGGTCTGTAAGGGGCGTGCATAAGTGCACCATCGTGCCTCCCGTCCCTGTCCTATTGTCCGCATTTAATCGTACCTATTTTCTGTATTCTTACTCATGTTTATACTTATACCTATTATTTTGTAAGCGACTGACAAATCTAAATAAATAAATAAAATAAACAAATCCCCATAATGAGTTGAAGAGGACAATAGGCAAGACCTAACGCAAGGACAACTTATGTTGGACAAATTCCAACAAGAATGAAACTGGTCGTATAATGTCCCCTAGTAGTGGGTAAGGAATATAATCGTTCTAAGCCACAGTACAGTGAAAGGAGAGATGGGGAAGGGATTCTGGATAAGCATCATCCATAGCATCATCCATCAATCATAGACTTCGGATGGGATGGGATGGGATGGGCCAAGGCAGGCCAGGATAGAACGAAACAGAAATAGGATAAGATGAACTTCCGATAGAATGGAATGGAATGGAAGAGAATGCAGAATAACATGGAATAGAATGGAATGGAATGAATGCAGAATAGAATAGAATAGAACAGAATTAAGAATGAAAGAATAGAACAGAATAGAATTAAGAATGAAAGAATAGAATGAAATGGAGAATAGAATAGAATAAAGAATGAAAGAATAGAATAGAATTAAGAATGAAAG